GGGGAACGCGGGGCGAAGTGCAGCGGTGTGCATCGATTTTCGAAATTCCTGCCTAACCGTCGAATCGAGGGAGGGAACGATGCGGAATATATTTTACTTTACCGTTGCGTTCATCTTTATTATCGTCTCGGTTTGTTTAACCCTTCGCGAACGGAGATTGTTCGAAGTATACAAAACCTTTTGCAGATCCTGTCGAGTCACGCATCGAATGGTTAATTAATAGAGAATAAGGAAACCGTTTACCGATCGCTTGCCGTTCGAGTAATTCGATCATTTGTCTGCAACTTAGTATTACGAACATGAAAGTCCGATCTCGGCGAAGCGTCGACATTCGTCCGCAAAGTGTTAATTTCGTTTGACACTATTTATCGCGGCGATATTTTCGTTGTGTCTGAAAGAATTCGAAGTGTTAAAGAGACAACAGTCGGCCGAGTGTCTCGAAATCCGGGAACAATTCGGAAACCGGACCGATTCGGCTAACGAGCGGCTCGATCGTCATCCCGACTATTTACAATAACCGTTCCCGCACGGCGAACCATTAAAATATCCCGGAGAAACGCGGAAATTCGGGTCAGGCCGCTCCGAAAGCAGGCAATCCGCCGATCACTCGTGTCATTCGCGGCTCCGCTGAACAGGGGCGCCTACAGTCACCGTCAAAAATCAATGAGGAACAGAAACCCCTCGCCGCCGGCGAATTCTGGGCACTCGCCGACACTCCGCCACAGAATTCCCTTATATTTCCGGGAGACACGAGAAAGACGGAATTATCGCTAACTTCTGGAGCGAATTCTCCTTTTATGGAATCTCGGGGCTCTCGAAGTCAGGAACAAAGTCGGGAGAAAAGTGAATTATAGTTGGCAGGTCTCTATTAACCGTTTGCACTCGACAATATTTCTTATTACAAACACATTCGTCTCTTATTATCTTTAACGTGTAATCTGTTTCTTTATTATGAATTTTCATTATTTCCTGATCAATGGTATTCCCTGCGATCAATGTAAAAGATAATCTCGAGTAAACCAAGAGAGAATTCTGTTTCAACAGACGTTCCGCATAGCTTCGATATAAATGTTAAATTGAATTTCCCATTCCACGATTTCTCTATATCGAGTGCAAAGGGCGTTGCTTTTCAGAGCGGAGCCATGCATTTTAAGTTTCTAGCGATTCGAATTGATATCAACCTTGGAGAAATGAGAATTGATTAACTTACGTGAATACCTAATTTTTCATCTTGACCATTTCGGAAATGAAGGGCACGACGCAGAGTATTTAGGTGATCGAATTTTTCCTTTGATCGGCGACCAAGCAATTACGAGGGAAGTTTCTTGTTGAGAAACGAGGCAGCCGACGCGTTGCGTCGGCCGCGCCGATACGAGCGGCGCGCCGGGGTCCGCATAGGCGTATCAAAATCCTTTGTATCGGATTTTCTAATAAAGAACGAGGATCCAGTGGAATATTTGCGCATACCCAGAGGGAATCGTTGTTTATGTGGCGGCCTTTTCGCCGGATATTCTCTGTGCATGCGCGAATATTCCGGCGGATTCCCGGTGTCTATTAGAAACTCCGATACAAAAGGTTCGGATACGGCCGCGCCGCGCTGTTCCGTCGACTATGTGGGTCACGCAGGCATTTCACTTACGTTCCTTCGCCGGAAGTGTCGTCGAACTGTACGAAAATTCTTCGAGAATCCCCTTTCGAAATGAAATTCAACGCGAGAACCGCTGTTCCCTTGTAAGCTCGTCGTATGGAAAACTATCTCTTCAGGCGTACATCTTATGGTAGACTCATAGAAACTGAAATATGATTTTGTAGGAAACTTTGAAAACATCTCTGTCGAATCCTTCGCTTCCTAGGTTAGACTCGCGGTGTTTATAACACGAAAGAATCCTCTTTAAAAGCTTGACAAATATTTACAAATATTTCCATCGAATCCTTCGGTTCCTAAGTTAGACTCGCGGTGTTTATAATACGCGATAATTCTATCTAAACGTTCACTCCTCTGTTTTACAGCGATTATAATCAAGTTTTCGCGGAAGCCTGAAAAAATCTGCCAGGAAGAAGCGTGGCTAGGAGTTAGACGAGGGGCACCCGGAATAGAATTTCACCTCGATATCCCGGCGGCGTGCGACGAAAAATTGAAATGTTCCCGCGGTCGTATTGGTTCGGACGCTGAATACAGATCGCTCGGTTATCCGGGAAATCCGCCGATCGAATTGCGCGGCGAACAACTGGAATTCGCGTAAGGACCCGCGATCTAATTACTAGACAACGCCGGCTCGCGGTGACAAGCGCGTAGAAATACGCGGCGGTATCGGGCGCATCTCGCTATTAAGTGTTTTTGTCACGCCGAACTGACATTGTTCGGCACGCGGCGCGCCGCGGCGCGCGATGGGGATGAATAGCGAGCAGATAAGAGGCAACCTCTCGAAGAAGACCGTTTACTTTCTTGCGTCGGCGGTTTCCTCGCTCGCCGCTTCTCCTCGTCGTTCGCTTTTTTTTCTCTCGTCTGTTTTCGCGAGAACCTCGAACACGATGTCGCGCCGCGTACAGCAAACAACCGGCGAAGAAAATACGCGGAACCGAAGGGAAATCGATCGGCGGACCGTTAACGAAGGAACGCCGGTGTTCCGGGGCGAAACATTCGCGTTCCGAGGAGGCAAGTCGCTCCGATTCTCCTCGAAAATTCCGAGCAAGTCATTCTAATTGGTAGTTCTACCGTGAAGTTGATAGGACGCGTATTAAAGGTACAGCAGGCGGGAGAGACACGCGGCTTCATTGTGATCGTGCGGTGGCTGGGATCTCAAACAAGGCCACTGCTGCGCGCGCGAGAGAGAGAGGAGCGCAGGGTACAAGTGTTACGGAAGTCTGCCGCTTCGGAGGGCTGTTGTTCACTTCACACGCCTCGGTTGCGCGCGAAGTATACGTACAGGCGCGCCGACCGCGCGAAGGAGAAGAGGAGTGCATCGAGTCAGACGCGACCCGGCGAAGCGTCTGACTCTCGCGGCACTCGCGTCACTCGCAGCTCTCGTGTCGGCCGCTCGTTAGCTCGACGGTCCATTCTTTCGATTCTGTTTTTTCTATTCGAAACTTCGCCTACGCGCTCGACGTTGGACGTTCACAGATTATCGTCAGGAGTGTTTGAACATTTGAATATCCGAATGTTGCTGTAGGATTCGAATAATGACGAGGATAATAAGAGGTGGAGATTGATTAAAATAATAACGATAACGGTTAATATGGTTGTCATGTTGCTTGCTATCTTGCATATTTAATTACGCTCCGTATACATATACTGTATATATATATTTTTTTTGTTTGTTAAACACCAACGATATTTATAATGCGACAGTTTTCTCTTTCAACTAGGCCATCGCGTTCTGGATCCATCCCACAGCGAAGTACAATTTCCTCGAGCATTCCGAGACTAGTGCGAGATAGAACGATAAGATAGAATAGTTGTTGTAAATATTCCATGGCGTTTCGAACACTGTAAATACCGGATAGAATCGAGCGGCTTTCGCTCACCCCGGGACGGCCGCAAGCAACGATTCGAATGCTGCATTCTTTGAGCCACTTGCGAGAGATTGTTAGCCGAGCACACACACCGGGATATGTATCGTAGTTGATTGCGAGTTGAAACTTAGATATCCACGCAAACACAGGGACCGAGTGTCGTGCACAATTAGCACTGCTCGTTCAGGTTCTCGATCGCGAACGGGAACGGTCGCCTCGTGTTTTTTTCTGCATGACGCGGATGCATCATCGAATATCGGAATTTCGGAGTCGACGCACGTCATTCTGCTCCACTGTACTCATATATCTCGAGTTTACGGTATGTCCCACTTGAATGCGATCGCGAATTATTATTGTATAATCTCTCGTTATAAGCGAGAACGAACCGGTTTCGAATGAACATCGTACGCGTTCACCTTGTGTTTATTTTATACTGACATTGCGTTGACCTTGACACTGTGGAGTTCTGCGAGGATCACGTTCGAATCTCTTGAATGTGAACTCTTCACAGCAGCCATATATAATATTCATTCGAAACGTTCTCACCAGTTTGTCGATAAGAAAGAAAAGTACAGAAATAATGGTGTAAACGCAGTTAAACGGGACGCACCGTACGTTCCAGGCTGTTCCGGAACCGATGAAAAGCCTCGAACGAGGATTCGCTCGTGCGTCGGC